CTTAATTTGAATTGGATTTTTAATTTTCTTTGAATTATTATCTTATTGTATTTTTTTATTAAGTTATTGAATTTTTTATTAATTTTGTGGTGACATGGCAGTGAGTTCGACCTTTGACCGTTAGTCAACTGTGTTGACCGTCCAAATTGACGGTCAAAACACGCTTCAACCCATGGGTGTATAGTTGAGGCCATGATAGCAATTTTTCAAACCACGGGCCAAAGTTGACTACTTAGGTATAGTTCGGGCCAATTTAAGGTATTAACCCTTGTTATTTCTTTGATTGAACTCTAGGAATATGTTTGGTCATGATGCTTCTATATTTATATTTTATCTTAAGTTATTTATATTTTATAGAAAGATATTAGTTTCGAAATTGGAACTCAAGTAGTATTGATTCAAACATTAATATTGTATTGTATGTGTTGTTTAGTTCAGACAAAATACAGAAGTGTAACCAAAACATAGACCTTTGTGACGAGTATAATCATTGTTGAGCTTATGGATTCTTCCATTGAATGATAAGGAATTTTCAAAGGTAGTAGCCCCTCTTTATATCTCTGCATGGCAGAGGGGAACTTGATTGCGACGCTCTCCAAAAGCCTTTGTTTCTCTTGATCCCTTTCGTGTCGCCGTCTATGTGTGGGAAGAATTGAGACTCATCTTGAGTGAGGGTGAGGCTCAAATGGTAGACTGATGGCCATGAACTACGACGGAGGCAAAGTTTTTCAGATTTAGAAGAAAGTTGGCGAAGGGTTTTTAGGAGGAGTTCAACGATGTTGGTGGAGGATTAGCAATTTTAGGGGTTTTTTATTTTGTTATCTTGATTGATTAGTAAGGAGACTTTAATAATATTACTTTTTAAGTTAGGACGATAATAGTAAAATTATGGCAACTTTTAGCGGTCCACCTCTACAAAATATATAAAGGCAAAATATTGGTTGAAATTCTTTCATTTCAAATTTCGTGGCCTGAGAGTGATTCTAGAAATGTCATTTTTGTCATTGCACCCAATTCATGTTTCTATATTAAAAATGTTATCATTAGAGTTCGAATTTTGGTCATTTGAATGAAGAAAGAGCATTATAACAAACTAGGCTACATTTTACTTATTGTTACTTCTTTGATTGAACTCTATGAATATGTTTGGTGATGATGCTTCTACATTTATATTTTATCTTAAGTTGTTTATATTTTATAGAAAGATAGTTTTGAAATCGGAACTCAAGTAGTATTGATTCAAACATTAATATTAAATTGTATGTATTGTTTAGTTCAGACAAAATACAGAATTGTAACCAAAACATGGACCTTTGTGACGAGTATAATAATTTTTTGTGACAAATCTACACATAGTATAATGATAAAACTGGAAAATGAGAGTCTCATTTCAAATTTCATGGTCCGACAGTGATTCTAGAAAGCTCTTTTCGTCATAGTGCCCAATTTATCTTTATATCATGTGTAGATTTGTGATACAAAATTATTATATTTGTCATAAAGATCCATGTTTTGACTACACATGTAATTTGTCTAAACTGAACCACACATATAATTTATTATTTAATGTTTGAATCAATGTTACTTGAGTTCCGATTTTACAATTAATCACTTTCTATAAAATATATTAATTTCAGGTAAAATACCTTTCCTACTTGGTTGAAGAAGCTCTTTCTATAAGATATATTCAATGTTTTAAGATTTTCTATTTCAGATTTCGTGAAGCGAGAGTGAAAGTAGGAAGAGTATTTTTATCATCACAATTATTATCTACTTCATATGCAAAAGTATCAATATCAAGATTTGAACCATGATCTCTTCAAACAAAAACAATAATCACAACCAATTACACTTAACAAATTTCTTTTATCTTCATAAATTGTAAACATGCACTAATTGAAGATTTGAAAATCAAATGACTTTTTTTCACGATTAACTAGCCTATCAAATCTTCTGAAAAACAAAGTTTCATATGTGATTTATAATTTTTATAACATATAAATGACGGGTAATCTTAAAATTGCAACACAACTTTCATTGCGAACTGCAATATTGAATATGCAAAAGCGATGTATAATTCTTTAAATTAACATGAATTTTCAGAACTAATACGAAATAATATTTTGTACAAACTATAAGTGACTGGTTCTCTAAAATTTTAACATGACTAACTGCTAAATGTTAAACTCTTGCTAATCGGGCATGAATGGACACGACAATAATGAGACGATATCGAGTTTGATGTGATATTCATTTCGTGAGTTTTGGATCGGATGTGTTGATCACATTAGAGTGCAAGAACATATAAATGAGTTATAATTAACCTTATTATACAATTTTTAATCTTTATAATAATTAATTTGATCTTAATATTTGTGATGTTTGAAGTATTTTATGTATGATTTAGAGGTATAATTATTATTTGTGACATTAGTTGTAGTTTATTCAAATGTAGTATTTCATCACGTAGTCAAAATCGAATACTGGTTGCATTTATTACTGTTATTTATCTTGGTGTTGTGAATAAGTAGAAACTTAATCATCATAATGCATATAACTATACCTAGGCACATGGTAGAGCTAACACGACACAGTTAGAGCATACCAAGAAAACAATGTATATGGATCGGCCATGTACAAACATGAATGCTTCATGGGTCGTACTTGACTTAAACTTCAAGGGCTCGCGCACAAGTGCGAGCACCACATAGTCTATACTGCCATACTGGTGAACTCATGTTTTATGGAGAAATGCGTCATTTGATAAAAATAAAGCAAAATATTCTAAAAATAACATATAAAATTTGAATAAATGAGTAGTTTCTCACATCAACGACGACTCATATTCTAAAAGGTTTATAAAATACATTCATTGTTTATTTTGAGACTCAAACCTTTTTCAATGTATACAACTGAAATTTCATTTATAAAATCATTCTTGATTAACTTCATAGCTGAAAAGTCTTTTTTACAGTTGCAGTAATAACAAACAATGCCAACAATAACTTTAGAAGCAAGTAAAGTGAAGAAGAAATTGAGATTTAGTATTTTTTTTTGCAAATGTGTGTGAGGGAGGGAGATTTTTTTGTCTAAAAATTTGAGGAAGGGTTGAAACTCATATATCATTTGTTTGAATATTGAATATTGCATATTGAATGGGAGTATTGAACATTTTGGAAGCGATATATAATTCTTAATTAGTATTAATCTTCAACCCGGTTGATCAATAGCCTTAGACCTTTTGCTAATCTGACATGGATCTAATAATCATAAGATGAGATTTAGTTTGATATGACGTCGGTTCAAAATCATTTTTTATGTGTAATGAATTTGTACGACAAATACATTGTCCAACTAACTATTAGAGATAGGTTAGCATCATGTCATATATATTTCAAATCAAGCAACTTCAGATTCATTATCAGCAGTGTGGTAAAAAAGAATGCTCTCTATTGGGGAAAACTTAAATGACATACTAAACTCTGAGATATTTTCATCCATCCTAAAGGTTGATTATGTATGTATTATGAGAAGCAACTCTAATATTCAACTATATGATTTAATTAAGTAATGAATGATAATTATTTATATTTTTTTCATTCAATAATTATATGTAATGCTTATATTTTATTTTTTCCTCTTTTCATGCAGTTTTAAACACATTATACATAGTTGAATCCCTTTCAGAAATGTTATATGCATAACTAAGGTAAAAACGAATTATTTTATGCATTTCAAATCATTTAGTTATCTATTATTATGTATCATATTTCTCGACAAAATTTTTTCGGCCAACGGGTCGGACCTTGTGACATTATAGTATATATTGTACTAGTCTTCATTGCCCGCGCTCCGCGCTGGGATTTGTGTTAAATTTAGGCAACCATTCATTTAGTGCATAATCATATCAAGGTCCTTTCTGGTCTTCGAATTTCATCTCCAAATTGATTAAATATTGGCAAACTATACACTATAATGATTAACTGAACACTACTCAATCTTGAATATTAAGGAGTCTATTGAGCCCACCCATGTCCAACGTCCAAAACTGTAGTGCACTTTCTTGCGCTGTGCAAATCACTCAAAAAAAGAGGAAGGCAAAGCTTATGCGATTTGCCGACTATCTGAAGGGAGTACCACGATGAATAATTGACCCAAGTTCCAGATCAATACAACTATATGCTCCAAGATTCACAAATTATGGCAACTGGAAAACTCCAAACTTTGGGCCAGATATAACATAGCAAATATTACAACTCATAATCAACAATACAGCAGCCGGTATTCCTGTAACTATACATGCACAAAGAAAAGTTACCAAGGAAATTAATAGAAAACTTAAAGAGATCAATAGTCACATTCAATCATGTCACAAAACAACATATAATCCATAGATACCGGGAGTCATCGAGAAGTTAAAAGAGAGGACTAAAAAGTGGAAGAGAAGTGACATGGACTAATCTAAAAATTCACTCAACTTACACAATAAATAATTATAAAATAAGGATAAATCAAGAAAAATAATCTAAGCTAAGGTAAACGAACATAAAGAAATAAGAGAAGGAAGAGCACAGGAATTGCTGGACACATATTAGCTGCGCTGGTGAAAGAAAAGGAAGGTTAAGTTATGAAGCAGACGAAAGCACGACCAATGAAGCGTCCAACCACCATCACGACTGTAATTCTCAGATACTATTTTGATCGAGGAGAGATAATGAAAGACCATGAAGAGGGGAAGGAAACCATTCAATCAAAACCTCACAGTAAACTGAACGAATCTCCAAAAAAGTGGTGCGACGCAAGGCACGCAAAAGAGACTTCAAAGAGGGAGATCAAGAACGGAAGAAAGATGCAGGGGAAATTTAATGAGGCGGGAACCGATTTGGCTGCATTAATTGATAGATATCCCATCAGGGTCTATTTACCCTTCTCAATCGCTGAAGCTAGGGATATCAACTCCAAATCACAGGATCGCCACCCCAAAAAAGCAAACAAAAACCATGGATCAAAATGAGAAACTTGTATACATAAATGGCAATGGGACAGAGAGAGGCGAAGACAATAAATAAATGGAACCATCAAGGAGAGAGAATAACATTCATCGATGTCTGATCTGATCTGGTCACCGTTTCTGCCGGAGACAATCTCGGAGATGATCATGCGTCAGTCAGGCAAGTCTGCAAGAAAAAGTAGAAGGGAATCACCATCCACATAAGAGTAGATAGACAAATGGGGAACAAAGAGATCAGATCCTCACCTAAACCTGCAGATCTGGGCGAACAACAAATGAAAGAGAGAAATAGACAGTCGGAATTCCAAACGGCCACAATCATCGTTGTAGTTCATTAGTTCAAACAGCAACTTAAGCCTACAAAAACAGCAGAATCGACGAAACTGGTGACAGGGAAACCAATAGAGTAAAATATAGCACAATAAATTTATACGACCAGTTAATTCACCTTTCTCTGCTTAGAATAGATATGCTGTTTTTGTTGATGCAGTGGCTGATGTAAAACACAGAGGATTGGAGATGTAACTTTGGCACACCAAGTTGATCGACATTGTACTGTTCTCCCACAGGCCACATCCTCCACCTGGCCACACAAGTCGACCTTCTGAAAGTGACGAATATGGCCAACCCTTCACTCTCTGTCGTCTGGGCATCCTCTCTGATTCTCGATTTGAAGCTGGGGGTGAGTAAGAGAGCTATCAAGAGGAGTTTTTTATCTCCCACCTTCAAGTGCCAGCCTGCCAGGGGAAGAAGGAGAGCAGGGAGAGAGATGGAGGAAAGAGAAAACTAAAGGCAAGTGGTGAAAGAAAGTTTCGTCATCTATACTTCTATCTCCTATTGAGAGTGCTTCTCTGGTGACGGAAACCAATGAGACAGAAAAGCAGGCATAGAGAATAGAGCCAGGTAGGTAAAATGAGTGGCCAAGAACTAAAGAATTACGTGGCTCTTGACTCACCAAGTATTTACCATAAAGTATCTATGCTTTCCTCGTTTCCCTCTCAACTATCATCGAGAACACCAAGAGGTAACTCGCTGATCAATGCGACCTCGTCAGTATCCCACGAATGCAGTCAGACCAGCCAACCAGGGGTTCCATCATAGTCCAAAGAGAACCAGCGCTTCGAAAACTGACCAGAGTCCACAATACACCCGCCCACACCCAAGCCCCATCCGAGTCGAAACAGTGACAATGAGTCACGATGTACAGTAAAGTGTCTCTTGATGCACAGGGAATGGATCTGCGGGAGGTTTTCTTTTTTCAACAATAAAAAAGGATTGTTGTGGAGGAGTTGAAGTTGAAGAAAACAATTTGGTCTCTACTTCCAAACTCTTGCGAGTTGGGTCATGTGTGTAAATCATATCGCCATATCGATGATGACTAAAAGGGCGATTTCTAAAGCCCCGCTTTGAAAAATGAACTAGCTCACTTTCCCCCACTTTCTGTCCCCAACCAATAATTCTTTGGAAGCAAAATCCCTCTTTTCCACCCATCCCTCAGAGAGATGCTTCCCGGAGCAGAGAACCCGACGGCCAGCGCCGGCAGCACCTGCCACGTGTTAGCTATGCCGTACCCGGGCAGAGGCCACATCAACCCAATGATGAACCTCTGCCGCAGCTTGTCTTCCAAACACCCCAACATCCTAATCACCTTCGTCGTCACCGAAGAATGGCTCGCCTTGATCGGTCCTGATCACAAAGCTGCAGCAGATAGCGATAAGATCCGGTTTGCCACCGTCCCCAACGTAATCCCTTCCGAGCTAGTGCGGGCCAAGGATTTCCCTGGGTTCGTGAAAGCAGTCACCACGAAGCTGCAAGCTCCGTTCGAGATGGTTCTCGATGAGTTGGAGCTCGAGCTGCCGGTGAACACCATCATCGCCGACACGTACTTGCTGTGGATGAGCGAAGTTGGGAATCGCCGGGGAATTCCAGTGGCGTCGCTGTGGACGATGTCGGCCTCTGTTTTCTCCGTGTTTCTCCACTTTGACCTCCTCCGTCAACACCGTCATTACCCAATCGAGGATTTCTCAGGTGAGAAGTGAATTGAAGAAATTAAATCCCACTTTCATGGCTAACCCTAGAACTTTAATGAATCAATTTGGGGAATTTTTTTTTGCGATTGAGAATCCAGGGGTTGGAGAAGAGACGGTGGATTACATACCAGGGCTTCCACCGACGCCAATCTCAGATCTGCAACCGTTCATCAGCGAAGCCAGCCGGCAAATCCTGCCGGTGGCGCTGGAATGCATTTCCCTCGTCTCCAGAGTCCAGTGCCTCCTCTTCACTTCGCCTTACGAGTTCGAACCGAACCTCTTCGATGCTCTAAAACGCCATTTTGCTTTCTCGGTATACCCAATTGGGCCCTCCATCCCGTATCTGAAGCTTCAGGCGGACGACACCATCATCAATGTCCAATACCTTCAGTGGCTAGACGCTCAGCCCAAGGCCTCGGTGCTCTATGTCTCAATGGGCAGCTTCCTCTCTGCTTCAAAACAGCAAACGGAAGAAATCGTCGCCGGCGTGAAGAACAGCGGCGTTCCCTTCCTGCTGGTCTCGCGAGGAGACGGAACAATCGGCGGCGGCGGCGAAAGACGTGGGGAGGGAATGGCGGTGCCGTGGTGCGACCAATTGAGGGTGCTCTGCCATGACTCTGTTGGAGGGTTCTGGACGCATTGCGGGTTGAATTCGACGCTGGAAGCTGTGTTTGCCGGAGTTCCGATGCTGTGTTGGCCTTTGGCGTGGGATCAAATCCCTAATTGCAAGTCGATTGTGGATGACTGGAAAGTTGGACGTAGGGCAAGGAAGAGATGGGTCGGCGGAGGCGAGGAGTTGGTGACGCGTGATGAAGTTGCGGATATGGTGAGGCGTTTTATGGATTCGGAGAACGGTGAGGTGAAGGGGATGAGGGAGAGGGCGTCGGAGCTCCGGGGAGTTTTCCGGGCGGCGGTTGCAGATGGAGGATCATCGGATGTTGGCCTGGATTGCTTTGTTAAAGACATATCTAACCAGTTCCGGGCCAGTTAACGAGATTAGTAAACAAATTAGTGTAGCAATTTGGACCAGGCCTTAGGCCCAGCCCATTTACGTAGTTTATCACTTCAATAAGACATGTATTTTTCATTTAGGCCCAGTGCCATTAGATTCAGACTTCATCATACTCAAAGTGCCTTTATTTAGGGCTTTTAAGTTCTTCACTCTAATAGGTAAATCATCACCTTATACAAGCCTCGAGCAAGGATCAATATTCAATAATAAGAAAACTAATTGGGAACTCTGAAGTCATGAATCTGAATGTTGTCCACATTCTGCTTCTTGTAATCACTGCGATTTCTAGTGGCATAGAACTTTCCCCAATTGTAAGGCAAGTACTTGGGAGGATCCTCCTCGCTCACAAGCTCCTCCAATGGCTTCACCATAACATGGTGGGATGGCACCAAAAAAAGAGCAATCGAATACCTCTCCTTCTCTCCATTCACAACTGCCCTGTGCTCCGCGCTCTTGTATCGTTCGTTGCTCCAAACCTAAGCACGTAGCGATAAAGTCGAAACGTCTTGGTTACAAAGAACTGTACGGGAAAATTTGCAATTTCGAATGTATGTATTAGTTGCGATTTTCAAAACTAATTAGGTACTTGAAATTTTTAAAAACAAACCTGACAAATGTCCCCAACGTTGATGATCAATGCAGTAGGATCAGGTTTCACAGGAACCCATTTACCATTGCGCTTAACCTCCAGCCCGCCAACATCATCCTGAGCAAGCACAGTCAGGAAATCGAAATCCTTATGACGACCACAACCAAGAGTGAGATCAGAAAAGGGGCAAGGAGGATAGTGATTGATCCTTAAAAAGCTTGTTTGCTCTTCAAAGTAGCCCTTCAGCCTACCACCAGGCAGCCCTAAGCTCAAGCAAATAATTTCCATCAACTTGAAAGCTAATTTCTCCATCTCTCTTGCATACTCCTGACAGACAACTCTAGAACGCGAGTTCAGACAATATTAGTTATTGACATGTCGAATATAGAAAGATTATCCGACATAGTTTAATTTAAGTTCAAACCTATCGAAAGTTACATAAAAAATGTGAGATCGTCACCTGAATTGAGACGGATTTTCAGGCCACGGGTTGGTTATGGTTCGCAACTCTTGGCAATCTGGGTCGGGCGAGGCCGGTATCAACGTGGAATCATCGATCAAGAAATCGTAAACTTCTTTCCAGTCTCTGACGTTCTTCGTATGCTCGCCATCGTGATACCCTACAGGATTCACTTCATCTCTCTTCGCCGCCTTCTTCTCATCCATGGGTTGATCAAAGAACTCTTTCGAAGTCTCCTTCATCGCCTCCAACAAATGCAAGGGAACTCCATGGTTGATCACTTGGAAGAATCCCCACTCCTTGCACGCATTTCCCACCTCCTCCACTATCCTTTCATCAATGTCTCCCGAAAGATCGATCACGGGGACTTCTTCCGGTCCTATGGCAGCAACATTGACGTTTGGTCGGTTCTCCATGTCTACGATGAAAGATGGATCAAGCTCGAACGACGTCGTAGTAGCCATGCAGAAGCTAACTCCCCCACGGTTTTGGCGAGAAAGCGACGAGGTCCATGAAGAATACTTGTTTGCTTTGATGGGGTTGGAGAGAAGAACGCGGCGAGAGGCGGAGGCGTTGTGATTAATTGGTGGTTGCAAGTGAAAGATGCGCAGTAATTGTGAACTTAGATGCGCCATTTTTCGGATTCTAGCTAGCGCGAGAGGGAAAGACGAGATTGTGCTGTGATAGAGAAGATATGGGGCGAGAGCTGGTTCTTTTATACTCGCGTATCATATATTCATGATGGATGGTAGATGAAAGAAGAAGAGTGGGAAACCCCTTTCGTGATGTTGAAAGGGCAGAAGGTGCGTCCATGGCTGCCCTAGCTAGGTACAATTTCAGAAGTAAAATTTGAAGTGGACTGACAGTAATATATGAACGAAATTTCAACATCAATGTTCACAAACAAAGAAGCAGCGGCTCGATTAATGGGAGAAGGGCCTAGCTAGCTGCTTCGATTCTATCTCATCTTTCCCATATGAGAAATATGCCGTTCTGACACTCAACTCTAATCCAAGATGTCACTTTGTTACACTTTGCTAATGATGGGAAATAAGCTGCTCGATCTCCCCTACGTTTCCAACACTACTTAGAGAGTTCTATTCCAGCACGGAAAAACATCTGCTTTTTTTTGTAAGGTCATATAAGTTGATTTTTTGTGGTTAAGGTACTATTATTAATGGATTCAAAGTTAGAACTTTCAGGTTAAAGACTAGTGATAATACTACTAAACCAAATCGTTATTCGTTGGGAAACAACCTGCTCTTAATTCGACTGTGTTTGTGCTTATAGAATCTCTTGATTCGATTGTGTTTGTACTTACAGAATCGACTGGACGATTGATAACCCTTATTTTATTATCGAGTTTTTGTTAAAGATATAGCTTGCTTTACAGTTTAGAATCTCATTATTTTGTGGTGTAGAAGGGAGCATTTATCACTCGCTCGCTTAGTAACACACCCATTTTATTTCCACGTCTATACGTTCGGTTGATTTGAGAGTTCATTTTTTCCTGCTACTTCTTCACAAGGAAGCGCCACTTGTTTTGAAGTTTGATTTCAGCTTTTTCGCCCTTTCCACTTGCATAAATTTACATTATCTGTTAATCCACTTGGATTCGAATCATGCTCAATTGTTCAGATATGAAATTATGTCATTTACATGTGCATACTGTCGCCCATGCTGCAGATCATGATACTTTATGATCCATCAACTTGGCGGAAAGAAAAAAACCAAAGAAAAATAAATCCAACATGCATGGCAAAATAACCCACCCAACCTATTTGCCATTTGCTGCTCATCTTATCTTTATACGGCATGAGAAGGGATCCACTTAGCACTTTCAAAACCCAATTTTTTTTTAAAGAAAAAAAAAAAACTGATGAGGGGAAAACTGATGAGGGGAACTCGGAATGGCAGGGCAGGTCCGGGACGGGTATTATGATATCCATATCTGTCCCGTAGCAGGTCGGGTAATTAATTATGGCTCGCGGGTCGGGGCAGGTCGACCCAATGGGTATGCAATTTATATGGAAAATATTAAAAATATTTGTTAATTTCATTATAAAACCAAGAAAACAAACCATATTATGATAAAACGTAGTTAAATTATTTGAGAAATTGAGATTTTCACTAATTTACAACTTTGTTATATCTAAAATATGATGTATAAAAGGAAAATTCTAAATAATTTTACTAAGATCACATGTAATTTACGCAAGAATGGGTCAAGAATAGGGCAGGTCGGGTCAATGAGAGTACCCATGCTCGCCCAACCCCTGCCCGCCTATGCGGCGGGTCGGACCAATCCCAAAACAGGCCAAACAGGTCGGATAAAATGGGTCAGGTTTAAATTGCCATCCCTAGCCAGCTCTCCCTCTCTCCTTCGCCTATGGCATTCGATTGGTTGCTGGCTCATTACAATGATGATGACAATCTTCTCACGCTGCCTATGGAATCAAAGGAAGTCTCAAGCTTGGAGGATTAGCAGGTTGCTACAGCCCCTCTCCCAAGACGAAGGGTTGGAGCCGATATTCGTAGAATACTCGTTGTCCTCGTCCCATCTCCATAAACGCGATAACAAACAAAACTATGGCTTATTTGCCATGAAAGATTGATGCTCCAATATAAGGAATGGTAAAAGGAAGCTTGGGCTTGTCCTGATGGAGAACAACGTGTCTGTTCTCCATTTCGCTAAACGTAGACGATTATCCAAAGTGATCGGCTGGTGGTTTAAGATTCCTTCAATGGAAGAATTGGATATGGAGGGATAGATCAATTCTGAACCCTTGTTATTTGCCAACAGCAAGACCGAGGATGTCACCTCCTCTAATTTGTTCGTCACCGGTGCGGGTTTACCTTTTTCAGGGTGCAATACAAAAAAACCTGGATGTTCAGTGTACCATCGCTGATCGGAAAAGCAACGTCGACATTATTCGGATCCGTTGTCCGGTTCGACGCGAGTTTGTTAGGGAAATATTCCCTTATGATATGATCACCGCATTAAGTGGGATTTATCATAAAAACATTATCCCATTTTTCATATTAAGTGTCCATCCGCTAATAAAACTCTAATAAACCTAAACCGAGATGTTGCGGGGAACCCTAGTCAGGAGGTCTGTCTTTTCAATAAATGTCTTAGCCCTAATCCTTCTACTCACATCTCTCCTATTCGTCGAGTAAGGGTAGCGGCAAGAGCTTCTGCGGACAATCCTCTCCCTATGGTCGCCCAACGCTTAGGTACCTTGTTTTCCCCTACCCCTTTCCCTTGGCAGCCGAAACCAAAGTTGTGCATTGCATATGGGCGGCTGCTCACGGCTTCCAACTTATGCACTGCCCGGCTCCCCCCGTCCTGGGAACTTACTCACCGAATGCATGGCCATGTTTCATCCGCCCTCATGCAACGTGGATGAGCAGCTTGCTAACAATGCTTCTTCTTGCTTACAGGATCACAAGATGGCTCACATTACCTCGGATCAGGTGGTGCAGTTCTTGATGGAGGAGGTGCAATCAACGAAATACCAGGCTGCCCAATCTCTCCTGGGACAGATCTTTACCGAGAATAGGGTATCAACCATGGAACTGAGAGAATCGGTAATTCCACCTTGGCTAATCCAGGACGAATCAGGGTGGTTATGGCAAAATATGGCCTGATCGAGTTTGTGCTTCCCAGTGAAGACTGAAGAGGCTAAAATCTGGGTGCTCAAATGGACTCCGTGGGTGATAAATGATAAGATCCTCCATCTATGCCCATGGCCTCTTGTCATTACGAAGAATTTTTTTGATGACCTTGCGATTGTCTCATTCCGGATTCAATTGTTGGATGTGAAAGAAGATTGTTGCAAACAACAATTTGGGCGGAAAATGGTGAATACGACTGTTGGCAAAGTGCTGGAAGCAGGCGTCTTTGCCAGTTAGGATACGGGTCGTTGGTTTATGAAAGTCAAGGCGCTGATCGATTTCACTAAGTGACTTTGATCACAGATTATGGCTTCTAATGATGACACCGGGTGCTTCTGGATCAGTCTGAAGTACGAATTCCTCCCCAGTTTCTGCAACCACTGTGGGAGGGTGGGACGTTCGCTACGAGCATGCACCTTTGATCCACCAACTCGGAAGGAAAAACTTGGTCCACATATGTCGACCAAAAAACTGGGTACTAGGATTTATGATACGGAAGAACAAAATCAATCCTTCCCCAGATGTGTAAAATTTGTCTGGGTCAACAAGGATTATCGTGAGTCTAAGACTAGTAGAAATAGTGCTGATGGGAATCAATTCGGCCATGAGAGGTGTGAATCGTGTTCAGGGCCACCTGGCTCAGCCTCGTTCCCGTAATCAAAGTGCGTTGGCTGCCAATTCTCCGGGGAATGGGGCGATGCCTCGCCGGCTGAGCCCACGAGGGTTCAAGTCACGAGGTCGCCTAAACTCAAGCTGGGACGTTCGCACACACCTGCTGCTACCCCTGTGCGCGACCATATCGACGACTCTCGCTGAGGGCGATTCCCTTGACGGCGAAATGAGAGGGACGAGTTGGAAAAGATGGTTCGGCAGGATCACCTTGAGCATCACCAGAAGGAGATGAATTTCGAGGAGGGCTTCCTAGTATCGACCGCTGATGGAATAGATGCTCTCCCGGAAACTGATCACTCAATGGTAAAAATTCCACCTGTCGAGACTCGGCGATGGAAGTTGGTTTTGGATGACTCGGATGACGAGCTCACCTCGCCAATGATCCCCATACAACCCATGCCGGGACAACCTTCTGGTCACGAGGGGAAGAAGAAAGGAAAGAGCTTGGTGATGCTGGGCAATGATAACTTGGTGCCGAATAAAAAAAAAAAAAAGAAGCGCTCGGCCTCTATCTGTGACAACAAGACACAGCTGGCGGCTTCTTCTTCTCACCCTCTATCTGTTGCTGATAATGTCCCAAAGAACCAGGGCCACAACCGCACTACCCAGGGTAAGGTGAACCGCAAAAGGAAGGGAGAAAAAGCCTTTGAGGTTGAGTACCCACCCGACTCGCCTTCCCCAACGAAGGTGGAAGAACAAATGCCGCTCGATTCGATCGAGAAGAGCATAGAACGGGAGGCATATGTGGCCTCTCTTTTGGAGGAATCCGATTTGTGATCAAAAGTAGATCTCCTGCCGCTGACCCTGTTTGACAAACAATTTCAGGCCAAGTGCGACCGGTGGTTGCTGCGTTTGAGGCAGGCATGATGTCTAATAAAGATAAGGAGTCACTAGAGAAAAGTGAGGGTGAAATGGTGATGGAGTTACATAAGTATGACTCTAATTTTAAGGGTAGTTGGAACCGTAAATGCTCACTGCAGGAGATGGATGGAGAATTTGAAGAAAATCACACTCCTAAGAAGTAATTTGTGGAAGACCCGATTGAGACTGAAAAGGTGGAGGAAGC